TAAGTGAGGTAACCCAGACCCAGAAAGACAAACATGGTATGTACTCACTTAGAAGTGGATATTAACTGTAAAGGATAATCACACTACAATCCACAGCCCAGAGAAGCTAGGTAACAAGGAGGGCCAAAGAGTACGCATGTATTTCCCTGGGAAGGGGAAATAGAAGAGATTTCCTGGGTAAGCTCTCCTACAAGGAGAGCAGTCAAGTTGTACTAGGGTCCACCTCATGTTGAAGGTCATTGCTGGGCTTGACCTCCAACTTAACGTAGGTGTGCTAACTTCATTAACAACTACTCTCCCTGTTCTTTCCTCATTGCTTGTGGACTGCCCTTTGGGTTCTTGTTAGTATTCTTCTGGGTGGAAAATACAAAAATTGGAAAACTCTAGGAGAAAGTATAAATATTTGGAAAGTGAGAATCTTTATTCAGTTAACCCAATACGAAACATTCATTTAAAATATGTAAGGATTTTTATAACTTTCATAAATTCATATTATCTTGTAAGTTTAGTATTTAGAATTTATTTTAGGAATTGACATTGGCTTATTAATGTCATAGAGTTTCAGAATTTTATGCTAAAGTTTATACTTTTTCCTTTTGTTTTATTTATTTTTTAAAAAAGAACTGTCTTTTTTTTTTCATTTTACATACCAATCCAAGTTACCACTCCCTCCCCTCCTCCCATTTCCTCCATACACCCTCCCACCCCACCCCCATCCAATCCTCAGAGAGGGTAAGGCACATTGCTTTGGGGAAGGTCCAAGGCCCTCCCTACTATATATAGGCTGAGCAAGGTATCATCCAAAGAGAACAGGTTCCCCAAAAACGAGTACATGCAGTAGGGATAAATCCTGGTGAACCTAAGGAAAACATAAATAGATCCACCTGAAAAATCGAAACAGACAAGATCGCCTGACAAAATTGGGAGCATGGGGATTGGGAGAGAAGGGAGAGTGGAAGGGGAAGGGGAGGGGTGAGGAGAACTTGAGGGAATGGGATAGTCGAGAAGGAGGAAGGACAGAGATGAGAGCAAGGAAAGAGATTTATTGATTGAGGGATCCATTATGGGGTTAGCAAGAAACTTGGCTCTAGAGAAATTCCCAGGAATCTGAAAGAATGATCCCAGCTAAGTCCCTAAGCAGTAGAGGAGAGGGTGTCCTATAGTCAGACTGATGAATAGCTTAAATATTACCATAGACCGTCCAGCAACTGATGGAAACAGAGGCAGAGACCCACATCGGAGCACTGAGCTGAGCTCCCAAAGTCCAGTTGAAGAGTGGGAGGAATGAGAATATGAGCAAAGAGGTCAAGACCATGATGGTTCACTCACTGAAACAGTCTACCTGAGCTAATGGGAGCTCACCAACTTCAGCTGGACTGGGAAGGAACAAGCATAGGACCAAACTAGTCCCTCTGACTGTGGTTGACAGTTGCATGGCTGGGGCAGATTGAGGGGCCACTAGCAGTGGCACCAACTTTATACCTTTTGAATAATGTTTTGATAAAAGTTTGAAGATGATTGCAAACTGCTAATTTCTTTATCTGATGCAGCTGTGGAGGTGAAGCTCGGAGACACTGGTGCTGGAGCTGTGCTTGCATTTCAGCTTTCCTGCCTGAAGAACAAACATCAGAACGACCGTTAGTTTTAGACCAGAAACTCTCAGAAGCACTTTTATATGGTTCAAGCCTGTTGTAAACAGCTGCCAGCTGGGAGGAAGCCTTTCTCAAGGATTTTACAGTTTGGAATCAAGTTAGTTATTGTCTTGATTGAGAGACTGCTCAGTGGTCAACGTGTGCTTGCTACTTTGGAAGAGGCTCAGGTCTAGTTCCTATCACCCTTATTCAGTGGGTCACAACTGCTTGTGGCTCCAGTTCCAGGGCACCTGCTTCCCTCTTCTGCTTCCCTCTCTCTCACACACAGTCTCACTTATAAAAGTTAGCAAAAGATAAGTAGTTGCATTCGTTGCATTGCGTTAGTTTCTCAGGCTGATTTAGTGGCTGGAAATGACAGGCATTTACTATCTCACAGTTGAAGAGCCTGGGCGCCCAATCTCAGGTCCTCAGCAGGCTGTCCTCTTCTGAAACCATGGAGAGAGCCTTCCTCCTGCCTTCTCACCAGTTTTGCTGGTTTGTTGGCAATTCTTGAGCATTCCTAGGCAGTCTCAGCTTCGTGCCTTCTGCTTTCATCCTCAGTAGATAGATTCTCCATGTGTGTTTGTCTTAATGTCTTCTTTAAGGGTGTCCTGCAAACGATAGTAAGAGCCTGCCTACCTACAGCATGACCTCCTGTTAGTGGATTTTATCTTCACTGACCCTGTTTCCTGGTGAGGTTAGATCCTGAGGTTAGAGATGTGGAATACAGTTCAGCTTGTAACAATGATGAAGTTCATTTCATTTGTTAATATTTCTTGAAAGTTCTGGTCTTTCGTCACCATATTGTCAGCTGTCTTCATTGTACCTTGTCCCTTGAAATGTCTTTTATATACTCATTTCTCTCTGTGTACTTATGTCTGAGGTTGCTGTTTCAGGTGGTCATTATGTATCTGCAGTAAAACATTTGATAGAGAGAATGTTATATTGATGTGGCAAGAAATACACAGTGGTATCCCTTCCTTGATGTAAAGATGCAAAGAATTGAATGGATCTTGCGGCTTTTACTGTTTGAATGCTCAGAGGAATACATGTTTTGTCTGTTCATGTACTAGTCTCCCCCTTGCTAACAGAATTGAATCTAGGACCTTGTCTATGATGATCAGGTGCTCTACCACAGATCTGCACCCTTCAGTGGTTGTACCACGGTGTAGAGGCTGTATAATTACATAATAAAAGTTAAGATGCCACAGAGAGACAGAGTCCCTAGTTCTCTTTGATTTCACCCTGCAATATGACACCCCCATCTGACATAGCATACTGTCCATCCTCAGGGAGTGAACAGCTAGAGAATAGCTGACGTATGCAGGTGTACTTCCTCTTCAGGCTTGGTAGGTAGAGTTTTGTGTCTACTCTATGTCTACAGGCCCACAGATTATTTTTGTTACTTTTAAGGTTATAAGAGGATATGAATTGTAAGAACAGTTTAGTCCATGTTGCTGTTGTGGGAATTTTCAACATTCCAGAAGGCTGCCAGGTTTGCAGACCATTGTGCTTTTAAGCCCTGGGGTATTCTTACAGAATCTCCTTTCTTTCTCCATTCTAGAGAGGATTGCAGTGTGTTCCCTGTTTTTGAGGGTAAGATGGTGCTGGTTGGTGAACTCCTGCATAATCTCCTGTAAGAATTATGGACATCCAGCCCCTACACATCAGACAAGGAACCTTTCTATCAGGCAGGCTCTTGGCACATCAGTAATGAATGACTTGCTTCTCAGCATTGCCTGCGGAGCAGCAGACAGTCTCCTTTATTTCCCAGATGTGTCTCTATTCTGTCTTCCAAATAGACATGTTTTAGACTTGTCCACCACAGCAGGGCTGTAGATGAGTGACATGCAGATCCCACTGAATGGTCCCGGCAACCTTGGTGTCTCAAAGGAGAGCCTAGCCTTTGGGATTAACTGCAGGTGGCCAGTAGCAACAGCAGCAGCAGCAGCACCTCCCATGTGAAGTGTTCCATTCCTGACTGTCTGATATACACAGAGGCCTTTGCCCAAACAGGAAGTACTTTCTAGGCGACTGCTCCTGCTGCCTGGCCACCCTGTAAGTCCCTGCTTGCTCTTGGGAGCATTGCAGTGGTCGGCCACACAGCTCACCAGTAACCCTTGTTGATTTCTTTAAAGGGATACCTTTCTGATTTTGTAATTACCTTTATCAACAAGTGACTTTTATTAGTTTAGTTTCCTTATGGAGTTTTTCATGTGTGTTTTGGTATGCTGTAGTTTAGTTTAGATTCTGTAGCTTCCACATCCATGAAACATCTGTTTCTGGTGTAGTTCAGTGATTGTTTCTAGGTTTAACTGTGAGTCAGACCTTCTGGTCGCTTCCCGTCTGTGCATCTCTTCATTGGGTCACAGCTCCATCTTTACCACCAACATGCGGACCCGCTGCCTCATCACCGGAGTTTTAATTTCTTAAGTAGTTTTTCATAGATGTGTGCAATCTGTTATATAATATAATATAGACTATAAAATTATCTGTTGTTTTAACTTCTATGAGTGAAGAAGGAATGTGTAGTAGGCATTCAACAAATGCTTAATGGTGAGTGAAATGCTTAATCTTGATAGTACACATATTTTAGTGAAAATTGTAGTTGCTAACATCTTACGAGATGATATTATACTATGTAGGGTTGTTTTTCTGAAGTTGAAACTGAGGGACATTTTCCCCTAGTAAGCCACTTTTTATAAACCATTTGATTTACAGACTTTCTACAGTGATAGATAATGGTGTCTTTGTGGCTGATTATTGACAGCTGATATAATTGTGTGTAACTGAGTATGTTCAAGAAAATGTGTGTACCTTCAACTTTTAGGACTCTTTGTGTGTCCTGTGAAGGGATAACAATTAGCTTTGCTTCTAAGTTGCACAGTTTACAGTTATCCCTTATGTCTCAGGATGCCAGCCCCTGGCACTGACCAGCCGTTACATAGGAAAGTTAGAGACACCTGTAGCAAGCACTCTGTAGGTCTGAACTAGACCATTTTAACTTGTTCTTATTAATTCTTTTGTAACCAGGGCCCCTGAGTCATCTCTTTTGCTGTTTGTGTACTCTCAAAAGTCAAGTGCAGATACTGTAATTGATTTCATTTATCTAATTTCTGACATAAAGACAATGTTAATTTTTTTTTAAATTTTACAAGTACTTTGACTATTTTAATTTTATTCTTTAATTTTAAACTGTGTGGGAGATGTATGTACACAAGGAAAACACCAGATAATGAGTGCTATTGCAAGAGTAAATGATTTGGAATGGATAATGGACAAAATGATATTTGACAAGATTGCATGCCTTTATTGTAGATTCATTTCACTAGTTTTGTTGTTGTTTGTGTTTTCTTGTTGTGTTGACAGGGTTGCTTTAGACACTCTTGCTGCATTGCTAAAATCAAGTAAGTTTCTAAATACTAGAAATAATAGTAATTAAACTATTCTAACTATATATCTATGTTCAAGAGTCTGGAAATTAGATTTAGTGTATATAGTTAAACTAGTTTCTTGTAGTCAAAGTTAAGATATATTCATTTACAGATTTATTTCTCAGAAAATGATGTTTATATGACATTTACTTATTTTATTTTAATGGCAAGGCTTTATGCTTATGTCAGTAAGTTAGAAATATAAAAATGACGTGCTTGAATAAATTATCCAAATGGATGGGATAAACTAGCTCAATAAGCATGTCATTATAATGCATATCTTCATATCACATAAATTAACATAGTAATTTTTATTAGGAATTTTGTTTTTACTGATTTTTGTAAATTCACATTAATACCATTTAAAAAGTGACATGATATAAATTTATAGCAGTGATAAATTTGTTTGCACAGAACTCGCTCTGTCTTCAGAGCTGAAACATGGGAGATGTGTCTTCTGAGGCTGTTGGGGAACATGTGCTACATGTATTGAAGTTTTTCTCACCAACAGGCTCAATATGTCTTTGAAACATTATCATAGTATTTTCCCATATGACCAGTTGCTTAATTAACATTTAATCTTGACTTTCATCTTCAAATTTCTGTTGATAGATTTTTATATGCCCCCTCTCCCAGTACATAACAGGCAGTTGTTCAGAAACTATTGTCCAGGGTGGGGCCACTTTGTTTGCTAAGTTTCCATGGCTATTTATTTTTAATAGTAACATGATTAAACTGTGATCTTGCTGGCACAGTGGTGGGAGTCAGAGGCAGGGTCATTGATGTCAGGTTCAAGGCTAACTTATCTGCATAGTGAGCTTCAGGTCAGTCATGGCTACATAGTAAGATCCTGTGTTTTTATAAAAAAAAAAAGAGCTAAATTAAGTTTAAAAATACGTTTTTGTTTTTTTTTTTTTGTTTACCAGAATTCTCATTGACACTTTCACCCTTGGGATGGAATGGACAGGTCACAGTGGGGTAACTCCTCTTGTCTGTGATGTGAGAAACTTAGACCAGGGTTACACTTGATGAAGCCAAGCATCTGATGAGTAGTTTGTATGCAGTATCTCTTCCAGTTGTGCTGCACACACAGGATACACAGTACAGGACCCTAATAATGCAAACTAGCATGTGGCAGGCTGCATAGTTTGAAATGGACCAGCACATTTGGAGTATCCTCTCTTATATTAAAACTTGCTTATCGTGGGGCACTTAGCTCAGAGGATAGATTTGTTCTCTGAAGTAAGGGAAGTGTGGATAAGAGGCATGAGTGTGACAGGAGTGTGAGCAGGGCCTCACTGAGACACACATCACATGATGCAGCTTAATGGAAAACTTGAGGTTTTTGTGCTTTGAGAGGAAAGGACAGACAGACTCCTAGGGACTTTTGTACCCTGAGTTTGAGTAAAACCCTTTCATTGATTTGTTTTAATTGTGCTCAGTGAAGATTGTAGATAGCTCTCATCATTTTTTAAAGGCCAGTATAGCACCCATGTTTGAACTATAATGAATCCTTTATTTGGCATTTCATTTTAAAATATAAACATTCCCACTAAGTATCATTTAGGCTGTTGGAGATTCCAGCAGAAACAAAATTGTAAATATTGCAGTGGCCAAAAAGTTGTTAACTAAGTCTTCTTCATGGCTACTGAAGGCGTGCGAATTTCAAGTGGTGTGAGCAAAAGTGTGCACTCACTTAAAACTCTCGGTTGTTGTTGTTGTTGAGACAATGTCTGACCCATCCCGGGCTGGCCTGGCCTTGCTGTGTAGAAAAGGATGACTTTGAGTTCCTGATCTTCCTGCCCGCATTTCCTGAGTGCCAAGATTACAGATGTGCACCAGCTTGCCCAGCTTATGTGGTGTGGGGGGCTGAACCTCAGGATTTTGTGCCTGATAGGCAAGCAGTCTATCAACCTAGTTAGATCGCTAGTCTAAAATACAAGAAAATTTTGTTGATCAAATCAAGAAATTGAACTGATAATATAGATAACAGCCTCGTAGGAAACTAGCTATTGTAGATATAGTAGAGGGTCTTTTTTGTTTGATTTTATTTTTCTCTCTTGTCTGAGACAAGGTCTTGTAATAGCCCAAGTTGACAATCCTCCTGTTTCCACCACCCTGGTGCTGATGTCAGACATGCACTACACGTCTAGTTTATCATAGAGCATTTGACAGTGCTCTCCTCGGAAACCACCTCCTGCCTATGAGAAATCAGAGCGTCATGATCAGCGTAGGAGGTTACACAAGCATGTGTGGGAACTAATGATCCTTTTAGGCAGTTAAAGGCAGCAGCATCTTGGGGTCCATAACATAAACCAAGGTTGCTTAGTGGGTAAATCTGAGGTTAAGAGAGATTAGAGTTTGTAACTCGGCAGCCCTAGGCGGGCCGGCTCCACTTCTCTGCTCCTGCAGTTCTCATAGACCCGCCACAGCAGCTCTAGGGCTGTGTGGTGCCGTGGAGGTGTTCCAGGGCTGCTGCTGTAGTAGGTGTGTTCTTCTGGGTAGTCGTCTTGAGTGGAAGAAGCTCAGCTCAAATTTAGGGTTTCTTACAGTTGTAGTCCATTAAGATTGACTTACTTCAGAAAACTTAGTTTTTTATGTTAAGATTTTAGTACCTAGAAAGAACTATTTTCTAATCACACACTATTACCTTTTATATAAAACAAGTTGTATTTTAATTTTTGTGTTTTAAGGAGTGGATATCTATACAATTGTGAAATATCTAGAACAGCTAATTTCACTGGGAAGATAACTACTCTAAGTAATGAGCTGTAATCCAGTAGGGTTAATTTTAATCGGAACACAGAGTTTGTCATGAAAATAAGCAAGAGTGACAACTGCTTTGAACAAAGTCACGCGCCTAGCTAGTCAGTAGAGCATTATGCTTTCGTCTTAGGAAAAAGGCCCATGTAAGTTTCAAAATATGTGCAGTTTTTAAATCAGTATAACATTTAAAAAATTATAGACCTTGTCTTAGTAAAATGCACTCATTTTTCAATTTTTTTGTTTAAGACAGTCTCACACTTGTGATCTTGCCTTTACCTCGTGAGTGTTGCAGGTGTGCCCCCTAGCCTGGCTAGGAAGGAGGCTCAGCTGGAAATCGTGATAGCATAATTAGGCAAGGATGTGTGTAGAAATTGGAACGATTTTTGGAACTTGCTGTAATTATTTTGCTAGAAAATTATTAAATATGTGGTTGTTCTTTTTAAAGTCTGGGAATTTATCACAATATTGATATTTTACTGTTTTGATTCATTTTAAAGTTTTCTCCTGTCGTATAAAATAACCTTTCCCAATTTTTTCTTGTTAAAGAAACAAATGCCAGGAGAGCCGTAGACAGAGGATATGTTCAAGTGCTTTTAACAATTTATGTAGATTGGCACCGCCATGATAACCGGCATAGAAACATGCTTATTCGGAAAGGAATTTTACAGAGCTTAAAAAGTGTCACAAACATCAAATTGGGAAGGAAAGCATTTATTGATGCGAATGGGATGAAAATTCTGTACAACACTTCACAAGTAAGTCACTTTTATTCGCAATTCTGCTTATGCACTAATGATATTGTTTTGACTCTTAGAAAAATGAACTATTATGTAAGTACTCAGGAAAGTGTACATATTGTAAATATATTTAAAAATTTTGTAAAACCAATAATCCCAATTGGTTTTCACATGTGACCTCAGAGATGATTGGAGAGTGTGACAAGTGCTCATGTCTAGAGCATGGGTTGCACACAGCAGCTGTATAAACTATGCACACAGTGGGAGGGCTTTTGTAGACCTGTGCTGCAGGGGTGACTAGATGGGCCTAGCTTCGTGTGCTCTCACAGGTATCTGAGGATGCTCTAGCTGCAGGACAGATCTGCTGTGAGCGTGGGCACTGTTTTCAGTACAGGGTACAGAGAGAGATGAGAGCTACAAGTAACATGCCAACCCTGCTAGCATCTTAGCTGCACACAGCCCTGACAGCACGTCAGTGACCCTGTAGGGGACACCGTCAGAGGGTGGAGGGCAGTTGCAGGGCAGCCGTATTCTGCCATATTGTGCCCTTTGAAATGACAGGACACCTGTTCAAGTTGCACTCTCTTGGTTTTCCACACAATAAACAACCCTTTCTGTATGATGGTGGTTAAGGTTTCTAAACACTTGGCATGTTTATTCTGAGTGTTTTCATTTTTCTGGAACAATCCTAGATGCCTGTTTTTACCACCTGGATGCATATAGTAATTGGTATTTGATGTATGTTGATGAATCAGGTGGTTTTTAACACTTTTGGCCTTAATTTGACTGCTTAATTAAGTTAGTCATGTGTTGAAGATTGTGTAGTATGTCAAAGTACCACTGAAAGGCCAGTTGTCACTGACAATAGCATCAAATCACCTGTACTTGACAATTGGCCAAGCAGCCAGGCTCTTAGCAGTGGAAGTGGGGTCTGCGCCCCCTGTTGTCTTACAAGCTGTGCAGACAGACGTCTTGCAGCTCTGAGAGGCGCATCCAGTACACATGATGCTTTAGTTCCCAGTGGCTCTGTCTTCTTCATGCTAGGCCCAGTGCCTGAGTGACTCTGCTTGATGACTCTCATTGCCAAAGATAAGCACTGCTGTTTGCCTAGTGAACATTTAAGGAAAGTCCTACTGAGTCGGTCTTGTACGTCTGAAGGCCGTTCTATAACTGCATTGTGTTAGGAGATGTGATGTCTCTGCTAGGAGATCATTATTGTGCTACATTTTGAGTATAGTGGAGTTGAGCTGTTAACTAACTCACATATTCTTGTTTGACCAGGAATGCTTGGCCGTCAGGACCCTTGATCCTCTTGTCAACACCTCTAGTCTGATAATGAGGAAGTGTTTCCCCAAAAACCGCTTGCCACTACCAACCATTAAAAGCTCTTTCCACTTCGAGTTGCCGATTATCCCTGTGACTGGACCTGTGGCTCAGCTCTACAGCTTACCCCCTGAAGGTAGGGGCCTTGGCTGCTGTGGAACTCTGTTGACATGGTTGTTTTAAACTTGTGTCTTAATGTGAGCATGATAAGTCTGCACGTTTATCTTCGTCAATAAGCATTTCTTTAGATATAAAAAATTGCAGTCTAATAAGAAGTACTTGTTGCTTGTATGTCAGAGTGAGTTGTGAAAACACAGGAAATCAGTCAATAATCAGTGTAACTTTTCAGAGTGTAAGATGGTGACTCAGAGGCTTAGGTCCTTCATTATGTTTAGGATTACCTGTGTAACTTCAAAAACATTTATTGCTTATGATGATGATGATGATGGTGATGATGAGGGCGATGATGAGCGTGTGTGTTGTGTGTGCCACCTGCATTCATGCTCATGCTAGGTGCACATGTGCAGGTCAGAGGACAGCATCCAGAAGTTGGTTCTTTCACCACACGGGCCCTAGAGATCAACCATGACATCAGACTGCTGGCAGCCCTACGGAGTCACATCGCCGGCCTGATTGTTGCTCCTATAAGTTAAAAACATAATCATCACAATTAGCAAAAATTGAACAAATAACTTACTTGGAAAAAAAGTGAAATGATTTGAGGTAGGCTGTTTTTCACTTTTAATGTAACCCTGTAGGTGTGTATGTAATACGGGAGAATTTTAACTTTCCAATGTGGTTTTTACTGGTGGTGGTTTTGGTGGTATCTACTGAAATGGAAAAGAAGTAGTAGTTAGGAATTGCATGGTAAAAAGGGGCCAAAGGGAAAAAATGCCCTGCCTCTGACTAGACCCAAGGCCAAAGAAAAACACTCTGACCCTGAGTTGACCCCAGGACCAGGGCTTGAAATCCCACCAAACCTTGAACTTGTCCCAGAGTCAGGTTGCAGAATCTCACCAATTCCTGAGCATAGAATCCCACCAATTCCTGAAGTCCCTGAGCTGGAAATGCCACCAATCCCTGAGTTTGTCCCAGAATCATACCACAAAAATCCACTCCCTTTAAGAAACCCTATATAAAGTCTTTACCTTGTTCAGTTTGCTGCTGTTTCTCACCCAAGGTAGTCACCCCGTTGGATTCTTGCTTCCCAATAAATCTCTTTAGTGAGGTTTGTTGTGCAGTGTGATGTTTTTGCCAGAGTGGAGCCCAGCTGTAAAGAACCTACAACACTTTTGCTGGGGAAGCTTTCCCCTAGTGGGGTGGAGCTGTATCACGTCTCCAGAGCGGAGCAGAGCTGTTAGAAACCTCTCCCTGGGGCAGGTGCCCTTTTCATCCCAGCTGCAATGCTTACATGGATATTCATAGAATTTTTTCTTACTATGTCTTTGAAAAAGTTATTTTTATGAGGTTTATTATTATTAAATAATAAGATCTAATTATCTAAACAGAGGTTTAATTGACTTGAAATACCAAAATGCCTCATTTAGAAAAATACCTTTCAAAAATAAGGCTGGTGAGCTAGCTTGTAGGTAATGGCATGTTATGCCAAGCCTGATAAATTGAGTTCAATCCTCAGGACCCACATGATGGAAGGAGATGGCAGACTCTGGCAAATTACCCCCTGACCTCTGTAGGTGTGTGTGTGTGTGTGTGTGTGTGTGTGTGTGTGTTTGATAAAAATTTAAAACATACAAAGTTTAAAAGTCAACAAGATTGAGTCTAGAGAGTTCTGAGTAAAACAGTTGAGTGAAATAGTTTTCTAATTCCTTCTTTCTGTTCTTTTGAAATTTTCTATAGACTTTGAAAGTGAGGACATTTGTAGCAATTCTGAAAGGCAGGCAAGAGGAGTCTTTATAAAACAGTTATACTTCTGTGGTAGAGACAGGCCAAGGATGAGCACAGTCTTCCTCCTCTGAAACGTGGTGTCTCTGACTTCAGTAATGTCACTAGCATTTAATTTGGAGGAACAATCAAGGAGTTTTGGACATCTATCTTTCCTCTGTCTAAATACAGGATTGTGGAGGTGTGAGGTTAAATGGTGGTCCTCGCTGGTAGAAGGCTTGGAAACTCTTGTATGATGCAGAAGGAAGTAACAACAGGGAGGAAATAGAATTATTCCCTCATAGTGATGTTTAGTCAGAGTCTAAATTATGGGATAGCAGAAGTTTACCTGCAGTGTGGTGAGTTCACCAGGCATGGAAAACACGAGAAAGGTGATACTCTCCTGTGGGCTCCTTTCCGGTGTGTGTCTCAGACTTGACGAATCACTAAACTAGAAATGCATTTATTTGTTAACTCACAAGCCTTCATCAGTGTGGGATGGGAAGAGTCTGATGAAGAGTCTTGCGCCAAGGAGGATGTTCTCATTTTGTTTTCTGTACTTTCTAGTGTATCAGAATTATTTTTTTGTTTGCCTCCTTGGCTAAAATGTGACCTCCTCTGGGACAGGTCTGGACTGTTTCTTGTCTATACTATCAACAAATTTGATACTCTGGATGCTGAGATGGCATTCTCATTTTATTGACTACCTGACTTTGAATGGACACCACAGAACTAAAGCTCCATCTCACAAGACACTCTCCCCTTTAGACAGCTGCTATGTCCAGGATTCCTCTGTTTTGGAGTGACTGACTATAAAGATGTTAGGGCATTACCACATCACTGGCAGTGTTGATCAATTGCTAGATATAGATGCGTGCTAGGACAGCTCACACCAGTCAGGAACACTCTGTACATTTTTTGTTATAAAGGACATAACTCAGGTACATTAATGGGAAGCGCAGCATAGGATCAATGCTCCTGCAGACACATCCTTCTCCTGGTGTCTTTTGTGTCCACTAGCCCAGAAGCTCTCGGAGCCACATTCTTTAGAAAGTTTATGGAGGCCTCATAAAATAGGCATGGTCAACTAAACCATTGACTGTTGATGACTAATTAGTTTGTAGGTCCTCTTTCCTCCTTAGAGGCTGAGAAACAGGTGTGAAGTTCATGTCACCAGCCTCCATCCTGAAGCTACCTAGGGTTCTACCAAGGGTCCTCTCATTAGAACAGAAGACATTCCTGTCACCCAGGAAATCCCAGGGGCATTGGGAACCATCACGACCTCAGGACAAAATGGAATAGCTCAGTATCACAACAGTACTGTTTTAGCTCCTATTTTCCTCCTTAGATTTCTTTGAATTGCATGGGTGGTTATAAGGGTACACCTTTGTTGAGTGGGTGGAGCTGGAGTCAGAACTTGCCTTCTTGATTAGTAAGTACCAAAAGGTAGTGAAGTGCCATCTATGGAGATCTATCTGAAGGATCAGTTCTGATTTGAGGTTTCTGAACCTTTATAGCTTCCATCACAAAGGTGGTGTGTTCTTACATATGTGGGTATGGAGCTGTGCATCTTAAGCCCTTTCTGACGTGATTACTGGAGTATGCTGCAGCCAGTCGAGTTTAGATGTTGAGAATGCAGAGGGCCCCACAGAAGAGCAGCTGTACAAAATGCTACAACCTGCCCACTCTGTAACACCTGACAGTGGCTACCTTGTCACCATGACGTAATAACCACTTTTAGTACAAGGCTTATAATGTATGTCGTTACCATAAACAGAGCCTTCTACATGAACAAATCCATTTCATGTTGATAGATTTCCTAATAACAATTCTTACATTTCTAAAATGGTAATTGCAGAAATATACATTTTCATATGTAACCTCCTCAACAGAGGTATTTATACTGACCCCATTGGCCCACAGGAACACACAGGTGATGTTAGAGCCTGCCCCTGTGTCATTATGGGTAAAACTTTGAGAGTCTTTGTTTTTCTTGAGTGAACCCACCACTGCTATGTAAAAGCAAGGTAGTTTCAGAGACGAATAACAAACCCTTGAGAGATCTGACTGTGAAACATGAACAAGCATATCACTTTTGATAGTAAATCTAAACAGACAAAATATTTCTTATTAAAGGCTGCTGTGGTGGGGCTTTTAATCCCAGCAGTTGAGAGGCGTAGATAGGCAGATCTTTGCATTTGATGCCAGCCAGGTCTACTGTTGATGGAGGGAGGGCCTGCTTTTGGTTCCGGCCACCTGGCTAGCTTACACCCAAAGTAATCAGACAGGAAGTATAATCATTTAAACACTGCCTGACCCATTATCTCTAGCCTCTTATTGGCTAACTCTCACATATTAGCTTAACCCATCTCCATTAATGTGTATCGCCACTTGACTGTGGCTTACCGGCATGAGTCTAACCAGCGTCCTTCTTGGGCAGGAGAACCATGATGTCTGTCACACTGCCCTTCTTCCCAGAATTTAGTTCTCTTTTTTACACCTACCTAAGCTCTTTTCTATCTAAAGGCCAAGGCAGTTTCTTTATTCAACCAATAAAAGCAACACAAATACAGAAGGACCTCCTACATCATACAAAGTGGTTTCTGGGCCAATTAGACATATGCAGTGAGACACTATCTTAAACAAAAAGTCAAAAACAACAACAACAACAAAATTGTATGAAAAGATCAGGACCCTTACATTGAGTAAAAAAGCAGATACTGTTTGGAGATTAAAGCAGTAGGTTAGACAGCTTGAAAGGAAACTAGGAAATGTGTACATTTCCCCAAAGAGGTGCAGAAGCACTGTTTACATGGAGTATAGATCCAGAAGGAAGCGAATGTAAGACAGTACAGCCATGCTATTGTATCTGTGCTGGACCACACAGGTGCTGCTCCATCCAGTGAAGTTCAACCTGCCCTCCGTGAGTAGTCAGTGGATGAATAAATGTGCCCCTAATTCCCTGGTTACGTAATCTAAATCAGAATTTTGCCGGAGCGAACACTCTTAAGAATACATTTGAATATATAATTGAAATAGTATTTTAGGGACATAAAATTGACTAAAATTGACTGGAATAGTAAAAAAGCCTCAAATGAAGTATGTAGTCAAGTTTGTTTGGTGATATCAACTGTTGATGTCATAGATTAGTTCTCTCAACTTTCAAGGGCTTTTCCTATGCTTTATTTTCCAGAGCATAGAAAAAAAAAAAGAAAAGTTTAGAAGCTAGCATGACGCTGAAAGCAAAACCTGGTAAGGGTTCCTGGAGACAACCCACAGCCAAGTCGTGCTGATCAAAACAAATGTGAACATTCTAAATAGAGCAAATTGAACTGGGCAGTGTTTATTTATGTAGCACATCTTGATTATTTTTAAGAAATGAAGTTTACTCTAATATTAAAATGGGTGAAATATATTATTAGTAGGTCAAAATAAGGGAACCAATTGTTTCAGTAAATATCATGAATAGATTCTAGATAAAGTTTATTAAGGAAATTGACAGTTATTTTGAACATATTACTAAATTTTATCTATACCATGCCTCAGAAATAGTAATGAAATATTAAAAGATGTATCTCAAATCATTAACTAAGTCAGTAGAGAAAGATAGAGAAAGAAAGGACTTACCTATTGAGAGGGTGAGATGTATGAACTGTGGTGGTTATTGTTACAGTGTTACCTAGGAAACCATGACAAACAAAATTTAATAACACCAGGTACACAAGAAAAATGAGTAAAATATAGAAGTTTTTTGTGTTTGTATCTGCACGTATATAAACCTGTGTGTGCAGTACACACAGCATATCATGTACTGCCTAACAATGTATTTGTGTATACATATATATCCATACCTGTAGATCTTATACACAACGCAAGAGGGGAAGAGGGGAAGAGGACCATGTTTATAGGCACAGTGTTTATAGTTTCTAAGTCCTTTAGGAGCTGCTGGCCCATTCCCTTAGTGGAGGCATCCCAGGGATGCCCTGTATTTGCCTTACTAAGCTATCAGAGAGACATGTAGAAATTGTTCCCTGCACTGCTGTTGTTAATATAGACAAGAAAGCAAATGACAGTTTTGATTTCTAGCCACTGGTTTTGATTGTATGCTGAAGGTGTAGTTAGTCATTACCAGTGCAACGCCATGAGAGAGTCTCAGATGCTCTGAAGCTGTGTGAAGTTTCACATTTGCAGCATGTACCCAAAGGAAAATACTTGGAACATTTGGCCGCAAATTAAGGACATTTTTTTTTCTCCAAATCGGAACTGTGTTTTCCTGAACTGTTGAAGTGGTGTTTTTCTTGTTCGCGATAGGCTTTTGTTGAATTTAGTGCATATTTTCCTGAAGAGCGTTTGCTCCTATTCTTTTCCCATATGTCAGTTCTTTCCACTGCATCCATGAGAGACTGCTGTTAGGTCTCAAGATAAATAGATCCAGATTGTTGCATGTGCTGTGATACCTTCTTTTTTAGCTTTTATTTTTATAAAATCTCTCTGCACCCCCAAATTTAAGCCATTTGATATCAGTGTTAGTGAAGACAGATCGAGCTGCTGTTAGAGTTCCATGTGAGACTGGTGCCCACACTTCACAGAGGAGGAGAGGAAGATGGACACCTTAGCTGAGCAGTTCTAGGTCAGAGACCAAGGCTTTCACTCATTTGCTTGATTGGCGAGTGGTTTGTGGTTAGTGGTTCTCAGTGGAGTAGGCCGTCAGAGATCATTTGTAGCTTCTTGTAAGAAAGTACGCAACAAGGGACGGCTTTCTCCTCTCTTCCAGAGAATACGACTGATTTGGGGTGTATGTTTATCAGTTTGCATCATACTACACTGGTTTGGAATTATCCGTAGAAGTTGATGTCACTATTGAGTCGGGGCTGGAATTCCTCCACTCAAATGCAAGGGTTCTGTTACTAACATTAGGCAAAGCAGGACTGTACTGCTGGGAGCAGTCAGTAATCTCTGTCTACGCCACACTGGGTCCAGATGCCAGGGAGCTTAGAAAAGTGGCTCTCAGTCCTTCCATGTGCACTGAAAGCACTGTTACTCTGTGAGCAGCCTGATGCTTTCCTCCTGTCTCCCCACAGCTACGCTCCACGCCCTTTTCATGGAACTCCCTGAGTGTTTCTTCAAGCCTTTTTCCTTCATTCCCTTAGTCTTGCATTGGCCTAGACACTTACCTGTCCGTCCTGGTTGGCCTTGCTTCACTCATGTTCTCCTCTCAAACCGGGAAATGCAAGTTGTATCAAGCCATTCTTTTCTTGGAAATTCCATCTTATATTCTGTAGGTTTGAGTCTAACTGACTTAGCTGACGTGTACTCCTCATCCCATCTCATTCTTACTTAAATTTACCAAGCATACTCTACATGTCAGTCGTATTTATTTTCCCAATGGCCTGTCATCTCACTTTCTTACTTCCTTTTATAATGTCACTACCTTGCCCCTAGGTCTCCTTTAGGTGCTGCCCTGTGAAATGGTCAGTGGTCATCTCTTAGCTTTATGTGATTTGCAGCCACTTACTGTCTGCCTGGTTTTCCCATGGTATTCCTCCTTTATGGTAGGAATTATATCTTTAAAAAATTCCTACTTTGTAACACATGGTCATGGAAATAAGTAATTGCAAAGGAGTGAAGTGAGTCATTCAGGTTTATCATACTGCCTCATCTGGGCTACTGTAACATGAGGCTTTATTATATTTGTAACTGAGAACATCAGCAGTGAAATGTTTAATTTAATTTGTAGTGTTTCTAACTTTTAGGGCTCAGAAACACATACTTTCCACATACTTTCTCAGGTTTCTAGAGCTGAGCTATCTTTACAGATGTTTTTAGTAAGGAATATAAAAAGAAAACATCAACATCAAAAAACCAAATATATGTAATTGTCAAAGAACAAAAAAGTTTCTGTTGAGTAGATGAACATAATAATTCAGTTATAAAGAGAAATCATCTTGCTTTTTCTTGGTGATTGGAATTCTTTGTGTGTGCGCTGTGCACGTCTGCCTTATGTCCTGGCTCTGACTGACCCGCAGTGTGTTCCCTCCCACAGTGGACGACGTAGTAGACGAGAGTGATGACAATGATGACGCTGATTTAGAAGCTGAAAATGAAGTCGAAAATGAAGATGACCTAGATCAAAGTTTTAAGGTTGGTCCATTCTTATCATTAGTAAACTTTATAAATTGTGTATATCAGCTTTCAAACAGATTTTCTGGTGCATAGTTTTACAGATAAAATGTTTATCCATGTCTTTCTCTTGTAGCTGAATCTATTGGTTTGAAAACAGCCCTAATGTAATGTGTCATTGTTCCTGAGGAAAAGTTTTTAAGCTTTCTACTTAGTTTTGGGAACGTAAGGACTCTGAGGAAAGCAGCCTGAGAATGCTATGACAGTTTATTCCAGAAGGCCTTTTCTTCTGTCAGCAATCTTTTGGGGTTGTAAAGACACTGGGAATGTAGTCTGTAGTGGAGGTGCTTAGTGCTGACGTCACGATTCTTAGGAGGAGAGTGCTGAACCGAGGGACTATAAAGCTAAGGCTGTGCTCCCCGAGCTATGCAGCTGAAGAGTCTGTGAGCCATATGCCTCTGCGTAGTCCTGTCTGTTCTGGAACTCTCTGTGTAGACCAGGCTGGCCTGAAACTCAGAGAGCCTCTGCCTCCCCAGTGCTGGGATTAAAGGTATGCGCCACTACCATCTGGCAAAACCAATCTGTTATCAATAGTAATTACAAAATCTTATTTATTGATAATGTAAATAAAAGTGAATTCTCAAATATAGAATGTTGGGAAATATCATATATTTTTCCTTAAGATTACTCATTAATGTTCATATATAGTTAGGTACTATATAGAAAGGATTTAAATATAGTAAAATAAATTTGCTTTAGGATTGAAATTAAGTAGTTTATTATGGCAGTATGATAAAAAGGAAATTAAAAATGAGCCCCACTTGAAAATTACTAACTGGTCTTTCTATGTCTTCTTACCCATCTGTGGAAGTTATGAGTTTGTGTGCGGTCAATTGTTAAGACTCTTTGAGTTCACTGAGGGTGCTGGGTGAGCTGACGCTTGCCCTCCTGCCATGAAGCCCGCCCGTCTGTCTGAGGACACGACACGTCTGAAGCCCTCTCTCCTTTCCCTAGAGTTGGGTTTTGGGCACTCGCACCACTTCTTTATTTCCTGGACTGCAGGAAGCAGTGTGCACGGTGACAGTGGGGTGTGCAGAGGGTCTGCTGAGTACGGAGTGTGAGAGTGTGTGCTGGTCTTTCTCTACTCCAGTGTCACACTGGCTATAATGTAAACTCCGGAACCTCTGGAACTAATTCTTCACGCCAGACTGTCTGATTGCCTGCTCCTTATCGTTTGGTGCGCACCATTCCCCGCCCTCGGTCAGATGGCGGAGATGAAATAAGCCTATTTCATGGGGTTGTGCAGAGTGACTTAGAGGATAGTGTAGTTCCTGCCAGCGAATGCTAGCTACATTGTCACCATTTTTGTTATGTATAAATGTTTTCAATTTAATTTTCTTGAGTTTTACTTTACAGCCAAAAAACAGGGACATTAAAGAGAACATACGTGATCTTTATTTTTATTTTACTTTTATCTTGATGAGCCTGAAAACTGTCTGCTGCATGAAGATTAATCATGGCCAAACAACAAAATCAGCAGCAGTGATAATCTGTAACTAATTAAAAGAACTGATTTACCTTTAAATCGAATATAAATTTTATTAGTGATTATTTGCTAATCATGAATAATAATAATATCTTGGGACATTTTAAATATAAAATATATTCTCTAAAATTTTTGTGTTTTTATACTAATGATATATTATTTCAGAATGATGATATTGAAACAGATATTAACAAGTTAAAGCCCCAGCAAGTACCAGGACGCACAGTAGAAGAACTGAAGATGTACGAGCACCTTTTTCCTGAGCTCATTGATGATTTCCAGGTATAAATACAGACCATTTCTGAAAAGCCACACTCATCTTCCTTTCCTGAATGACACTGGGTTGTGATAGTGACATTTTTAAAAATATTTATTTATTATGTATACAATATTCTGTCTGTGTGTCTGCCTACAGGCCAGGAGAGGGCATCAGATCTCATTTCAGATGGTTGTGAGCCACCCTGTGGTTGCTGGGAATTGAATTCAGGACCTTTGGAAGAGCAGGCAATGCTCTTAACTGCTGAGCCATCTCTCCAGCCCCGTGATAGGACATTTTGAGCTGAGTCAATGGCTTGTAAGAAGGAAGAGCGTTGGGCTAGTTTTTACATTTTATAATCACTTTGGTTCATCACTTTTTATATTTACATATATTTTATTAATATTAATGTATTTTATATAGTCACTTTGATTAATCACTTTTTATATTCTTAAAATTGCATTGTAAAATCACACTGTAGTCTTCCTTGTTACTTCTGCCCATTTTAGCAGTGCTGAGGAGTTCTGCAGCTCTGCTTTTCCCTTGGTACCTACTGTGTAACATGGCAGCGGTTAGGACAGGGAGAGATCAAACGCAGCCCTGAAATCTGGGTTGTCAGTGTTAGCATTTCAATTTTTCACTTACTGAGATAGTTATTCAGCTTGGGTTATACAACCAGCCAGGTTGACTGAGCTGTCAACAGTCAGGAGCTGTAGTTTTTATTCTCTCTGTAGTGACTGTGCTGGGCTCTGAAATCTGATGTTAGAGTGTGAGTTTGGCAGGACATAGTAGCATGCATTTTTAATTCAGCACCAGGAAAACAGAGCCAGGTGGATCTCATGAGCTCAGAGGCCAGCTTTACACAGAATGAGCTCTAAGATTTGAGTAGCTTTTGCTATAAATGTTGTTGCTCTCCAGATCCCATATCCTTAATCACAGTAGATTAAAGAAAAAGATTGCAGTGAGTTTATGAGACATAAATGAGAACTATTTACCAGTTTTTTATTTGTCTTTGGGAGTAAACTTAGGATCTTGGGGTACAGTGAAAAAGATGAGCTCCTGCTTCCTCTTTCTCTGCTCTTCCTGTAGGTTTGAAGTTCATTGGAACTTTGAAGCTGAGAATAATGGAAGGAGGTCAGGGGTCAGGGAGAAAATAGTGGGGGTGGGCCAGGGAGGTCAAGTGGGAAGCAGTGGGGGAAGGAGGAAGCTGGGAAGAGGTATTTGGGGGCAGAGTGTGGAGTGGCTAAGTTTTTCTCTCATTTAACCTAGAACAACTGTTGAGTTACTCTTTTTATGTGTTTGGTTTCACTTGAACCGTTTGAAGATAAATACTTTTTAAATCAAGGCAGACCAGTAGTGTTATAGTGGTTTTGGGTGGGAATTGATTAGCATATAATGATTTCACCTATTTTCCTATAATTATATGCATATAGGAATATATAATGCTATAAAAATTACTGCTTTGGTGTGGGAGTAATTGTATAATTGGTGTCAGGGTTAGATTTAGATCAGTAGTTCTCCTCCTGTGGGAGTTGGAAGGCCCTTTCCCAGGGTCTGAGTAAGAACAGCAAGGACAGTAAGTGTAGCAAGTAAAGACACGTGTGTCTGAGTCAGAGCACTGGGACTGTGTTATTTCAAGTAAGTAAGGCAATGTGTACATTTTTTAGTGTGTTGTGAATTTTGCCATTAAGTTATAGGTTGTTAATTAATTTAGTCCTATATTTAGGGAAATAGCACTTTGTTTTTTTTTATATAACTGAATTTATTGCCAAAGGAGTTAGTTGTTCCGGCATTTGACTGTCTTTCTCACTTTAAATTTCAGAGTTTGAAATATATGTATGAATAGTAAGAAGAAATATTGAGAATTATAAAAGTTTATTGGTTCTTTTAATAGTGTTCGAAAGAATTTTATTCAACCGTCATTGAGTCAATTCCTGGTATATCGTATGATATTAAGTATATGTGAAATTAGTTGCTTTCAGTATTAACCATTGAAGTCTGTGACAGCTAGATGTGTCTGCACCTGACCAACATCCACCTTGTTCCAATGTGTAAAGCCTGGTTATTCAGTTGCTGGGTGGAAGTAAAATGAATGTCATTTGTAGGTGGCATTTGGAAGCTATTTTTTGCAGGGCAGGAGAGAATTGAACTCAGGTTCTTATGTCCACTAAGCAGGCATTCTATTGTTGTGTGGTCTCCCAGCCTCTGTTTGTTTGTTTATTCATTTAACCCTCCCTCCCTCTCTCCCTCCCTTCCTTCCTTCCTTCCTTGTGTGTGAGTGCTTTGCCTGCCTTTATGTATGTGCACCATATGCATGCCTGTAGCTTATGGAGATGAGAAAAATGTGTGAAGTTTCTGAAGTAGTATGTGAAACAAACATGCTCTTACTTGCATTAGCATACTGACAGATAACAGGTTAAACTTATTTTTTTTCTTAAACAGGACTATGAATTAATCTCCAAGGAACCCAAATCTCTTGTGTTTGAGGGGAAAGTCCGAGGCCCTATTGTTGTTCCCACGGCTGGAGAGGAAGCGTCTGGAAACTCAGGTAGTGTAAAGAAAGGAGCTGTACTGAAGGAGAAGATGTTTCCCAAGGGCGAGGAAGCCAAGGAAGACGGCAAGGGCAGTGGTGGTCAGAACAGAACTGCTTCCTCAGCTCACAGCTTCAGCAGTGACATCGTGAAGGCCTTGGACCGGATCACCTTGCAGACCAGTCCTTCCCAAGTAGGCCCGAGGAAGGACTGTGGTCTCCCTCTCTCGGTCCTCTCGTGCACGAAAGCATGTCCACAGGTGGCTACGTGCGGAAGTACTCTATTTGAAGGGCGGACGGTCCAGCTTGGGAAGCTTTGTTGTACTGGAGTTGAAACTGAAGATGATGAAGATAGCGAGTCCAACTCGTCAGTCGAGCAGGCCTCCTCTGTGGAAGTCCCTGATGGACCAACGCTGCACGACCCAGACCTCTATATCGAGATTGTGAAAAGCACGAAGTCTGTTCCAGAGTATTCAGAGGTGGCTTATCCTGATTATTTTGGTCACATTCCACCTCCATTCAAAGAGCCCATTTTAGAAAGGCCTTATGGTGTACAAAGGTGAGCTGCAGATCTCTTCCTCCTCCTAAGGCATACTCACAAATTCTATCTGGGGTCTCTAGGAAAACGATTGCTGCAAGTTAAAGGTACGTTGGTTGGGATGCTTTGTGTTGCTTTGAAATTGCCCCTGTTGATAGTTGTGTCTGGAGAATCAGCTATGATTGCTATACTTTGGATTTTGAATGACTTAGTTCATTGGGTGTATAGCAAGAAAAAGAATACATAGCAAGTAGCAGATAGATAACATCAAGTCAGGCACTTAGAACATCCAGCAGAAATGGCCAGAGAGGCCTTGCTGAAACAGTGAGCTGTAGGACCAATTTAGAGTCCCAGGTAGTGTCCTCCTTCTAGTGACCTCAGGCATTCTGTAGTCTGGGGTAAACAGTAGTGAGTGACCTATTGGAAGTGTTTTCCCTACAGCTGTTCTCAAGGGTGCAGTTTTTACTACCCTTGAGTTATTTGCTAGTCTCCTTTCTTGTCACAGGGTCAGGGTATCAACCTGCACCAGGACAAGGGATCTCTGAGGGCGCTCGAGTCTGAGACAAGGAGTCTACTCCTTCCTCTGTCAGTTCTCAGCAAGTGCAGAGGACACCATGATACTTAATTAATGTAATTTTATGGACTTACTTTATTTTGCCAGCATATTACTTATTTAAATGAAAGAATAATACGTACCTGATATAATGTAGAAACTTGGTTTAGATTGCACCTAAAAGTATGAAGGATTATTTAATGATGTTTGAATAAATACTATCTTAGCAGTATTTAATAATTTTTTATTCATACTTTGTTTAGACATGCTTTTAAAATATGCTGTAAATGAAGCAATAAGGATACATTCTTTTGTTTGGCAGTTTAGCTGGAAATAAAAAGTGAGAATTCCTTATTCACAAAGGCACTAAGTGAGGTGATATTTCATGTGCCAAAAATACATCTAGAAATTGTTGCTAGCAGCCTCGACATGCCAAAAACCTTTATAAATCTTTTTAGTGTCTCTGAACTGTTTCTGGTGAGTTTTAAAAGATGACGTCTGGTCAGTTTTTGATACCCCGTTGTTAGAAGTGTAGCATGTACTGAAAAGGAGGCCTTGCTGTTGCCTCTGAACATCCTGGAATACAAGCTTCTTTAAGCCCCAGCTGTGCATTTTATCGTAGCATGTGGTACTACTTAATGCTTCACTTGATGGCCTCGGGACCTCCCATCCAGTGACAGAACTGGAGGGTTGTGAGAGAAATCCTGGGGCTTTCCAGCCTAAAATACTCTCCTTTCTTTATAGGAGATGTTCGCTGGCCCTTACAGCTCGATCGTCTTAAGGCTTTAAAGTTTTACATTCAAGTCAGAAATGCCAAATGTGGTTAGCGAGCAGCTGCTTAGAAAGCTCTCAGAAATGCTTTCTAAGCAGCTGAAATACATTGAGGATGCTGACTTTAGTTAGCTCATGTCAGTTGCCTTTTTTCTTTCAGCCTGCTCTAAGCAAGTGATGGATTCCCTATCTGAATCTAGTAACACTATAAATGAAAGGTGTCAAATTAACGAAGCTTTATTGGTTTGCTACTTTCAGAAGAAAGAAGCAAGCCATTCCTTTAAATTTACTTAGTAAGCTAGGCATGATAATGCTTACCTGTGTGGTCCCAGCCACTTGGGAGGCTGAGCCAGGTTAACTTGGGCAGCATAGCAAGACCCCATGCTCAAAAAAATTATCGTGAGGAATGTTTTAGTGTTATTTGGAGTTCTGTTGTTTTCTTGCCTTTGTAGTATTGATCTTAATCTTTTAAAAACAAAAATTAAGTATAGAATAAAAAAATTCAGTTGAAAAGTCTCTGACCCAATTGCAAAATAAAAAATCTGTTGTAAGATTTGTTTTCATATATATATATATATATATATATATATATATATATATATATATATACTCAATGTAAATGACAAAATAACAGTAAAATTAAATATGGTGTATTTATCATTTCATTTAATCAGGGAATGGAACAGTTGTGAATTCTCATGCAGACTGCTTCCTTCTTCCCATGGGCCTTACTGTCCTCTCCCACTGCTCCTCCCAGTCCCTTCCTCAGGCTCAGGGAACGTTGTGGAAAAGGGGGTGGAGATAGTATGAGGTCAGAGGGTGGGAAGCAGGACTTCCGGATGTCATTCATCTGGGCAAGATACAGCTGAGCCATTTGTACTGCTAGATTTAGAAAGGGGTAGCATTATCTTCAGCTGTGTCCATTGCTGACCCTGCAGGCTTCAGTGGACTCCATAGCTATACAAATGGTCTCAGGGAAACTAACTGGATTGCGAAACAAAAGTATAATTTAATCTTTGAAACTAGATGTGATGGTAAATATTGTCAACCTGATAGGGTCTGTAACCTCTTAGGAAGGGCTGAGGAAATGGCTCAGTGGTTAAAGTACTTGCCATGGAGATTCCACATAAATGCTGAGTGGTGTAGTGGCCTGCTTGTAATTCCAGTGGTCAGGAGACACAGATCCCTAGAGCAAGCTGGCCTCACTAGACTAGCTGTATTGGTAAACTCTCAGCGGATAGGGGAATAGGGTGGGGGAACATCATGGAAGGTTCCCAGTGTCAGATGAATATGCATGGACATTTGCATACATGTGTGACTGTTATACAGAAACACATGTGCACTCACCCCATCCCACAGAGGAGAACCTGCTCTGGAGGAATTATTTACATTCTATTAGTTTGCCTGTGAGATACATTTACATTAAGTTAGCCTCTGGGCATATCTGTGAGATTAGATTAAGTTAATTGAGGGAGACTCACCTCTGCTGTGGGCAGTGTCTTTCCAAGGTCTGGGGCCTGGGCTGAATAGAAAGAGATGAACAGCAGCCTTCATTTCCTTGCTTCCCAACTGCAGGTGCAGGGTGGCAACACCTTCCAGCAACAGGAAGAAGAACTACCAGACTACTTTTTTTCCTTATAGACTATTTTGTATGTGTTGAGTTATTTTCCTTTCCTTTTCTTTTCTTTAGAGCTCTTCCCTCATTCTTTTATTTTCATTGATGGTCCGTGGGGGTTACATTACCTGCTTTGCCAGTCTCTCAGAGATACTGAGGCTCGACTGACAGAAGCATGTGACAGTCCTTGCAATATTGAGAAGTTTGCTAACTCAGAAGCTGTTATCATTCACATGACTGTTTATCTTCCATCTCTCCAGAGTCATGAAGCATTCTTGATCAGGCCCTTGACAACCATTAAGTAGGATTTTCCTGGTCATGAAAGTTTATAGTTCCTCCAAGGTTCATTGCTAAGAGTTTCAGCTGACAGCTTCTTACCCGATCAACTCAGAGGGACAACCAAGGAGCCACACTGTCACACAGCCAAGGAAAGACCCTGGAGAAGCTGGGAAACTGGAGGGAGATGGGACTCCTGAGCATCTGCGGGAAGCTCCCTTTCCCTTCTTGAATGTGTGAGGAAGAGTTAAGGCTGTGTTATCAGGCTGCCCTGTGCTGGACCTCCAAGAGGAGGTCTTAAAAAGACACAGTCAGTCCAAACAGCCAACACTGTTCCTTTGACTGTTGGACTCAGAGCCATTGCCAGTGCTCCTGACAAGTCACTCTGGGCTTCTTTTTTTTTAAATTAATTTTTATTGAGCTCTACATTTTTCTCTGCTTCCCGCCCTGCCTCTCCCCTCCCCTTCAACCCTCTCCCAAGGTCCCCATGCTCCAAATTTACTCAGGAGAGCTTGTCTTTTTCTACTACCCATGTAGATTAGATCTATGTATGTCTCTCTTAGGGTTTTCATTGTTGTCTAGGTTCTCTGGGATTGTGATTTGTAGACTGGTTTTCTTTGCTTTATGTTTAAAAACCACTTATGAGTGAGTACATGTGATAATTGTCTTTCTGGGTCTGGGTTACCTCACTCAAAATGATGTTTTCTAGCTCCATCCATTTGCCTGCAAAATTCAAGATGTCGTTATTTTTTCTGCTGTGTAGTACTCCGTTGTGTAAATATACCACATTTTCCTTATCCCTTCTTCAGTTGAAGGGCATTTAGGTTATTTCCAGGTTCTGGCTATGACAAACAATGCTGTTATGAACTTTGTTGAATACATGTCCTTGTGGCACAATTGAGAATCCTTTGGATATATACCCAAAAGTGGTATTACTGGGTCTTGAGGAAGGTTGCTTTCTAATTTTCTGAGAAACCCCCACACTGACATCCAAAGGGGCTGTTTTGAGTTATTTTTCTATAAAGTAAACTGTGTTTAACTGTTGAGTAGATAAAGAAATTTTTGCCTTACACTTTTCTCGTGTTTTAGTTTCTTTTTATGTTTAACTGTCACACGTTTTAATATTTTCTTCATAATGCCCAGGTCTTCATTTAGGACAAGTTTTGAGCGTGTGTAGAGCTTAAGGTTGTATTGTTGTTACAGCTTTCTGTCACTGTGACCGATGTCTGTGACCAACAGTGAATACAGAGAATGGCTTCTTCTGGCTTGCGTCTTCAGGGGTTTTAGTCTGTGGTGGGTTGACTGTTCTGTGCCTGTGGTAAGGCAGACACAGTGCCAGGGAGTGCAGGTAGGGCACACTATTTATCTCATGGTGGCAGTGAAGGAGAGCTGGAAGGGGTGGAGAGGAAGGGATGGGGTTCTTAGTATCCTCTTGAGGTGTTTCCCCCAGTGACCTAGCTTCTGTCCTCAAGGCCTTACCTCTAGTGGTTCTCCAGCCTCTGAATGGTGGCCTTCAGCTCTGGGTCTCTGGGTGACACTTGAAGACTAAGGATGTCACTGACATTAAGTATAGGAAAGCGTCCTTGTGTAGGTGGCAGTTTCAAACTTTCTAAGCTAAAGAGTCTTGAAATTTGGATTTCTGAGGCTGCTTTTCATAGTTCTATAACCATGGTTCTAATTTCTACTGTTTGTCTTTAGCTAATGTGAACAAAGTTAGGGGTTAAATCAGTTCACTTAGTGGACTTCCTCTCTAAGAACTCATTTTAGAGACTGGAGAGATGGGTCAGTGGTTAAAGTACATGCTACTCTTGCAAAGGCCGCAATTTTGTTTCCCAGCACCCACATCAGGCGGTTTACAGCTACTAGTAATGCTAGTTACTGGGGGGGGGGGTGTAAAAATATTGGGTGTGCACACATACACACAATTTAATAATAAAAATAAATCTTAAAATCGCTTGGAGAGATGGCTTTGCATTAATGCCGCCAGGACTTGGTGTCCAGTTGGCCTGGAATCAGCATCTGTGCTAAGGTCTGAATTTTCTGTCCCAGCTGTACCTTAGTTCCTTCTGGTGCTTCCCTCCTTCCCACTTTTCTTCTCCCACACCCCCACAGGAAGGGGATCTGCAGAACATGCAAGCATACTGTTATAGTTGGTTTGTTTATTTATCTATCTATAATTAATTAATTCTCTTTGGGGGTCTGTCACCCAGCTCCCAAATACGTACACAGAGACTTGTTTTTACTTATGAATCCCTGGCCTTAGCTTGGCTTGTTTCTAGCCAGTTTTTCTGAATTAAATTTTCCAGTTTCTCGTCAGCTACATTTTGCTTTTGGGCCTTTTACCTTTCTCTATTCTGTATATCTTTCTTTCCTTCTTACTCTGTGACTGACTGTGTGCTTGAGTGGCTGACCCCTGGCATCCTCCACGCTTCCTTTTCTCGCTCTCACTCTCTTCCCTAGATTTCTTCCTGTTTATTCTCTCTGCCTACCAGCCCCATCTTTTTCTCTCTCTTGTCTAGCTCTTGGCCAATCAGCTCTTTATTAGATCAATCAAGTGTTTTAGGCAGGCAGAGTAACACAGCTTCACAGAGTTAAACAAATGCAACATAAAAGAATGCAACACATCTTTGCACCATTAAACAAATGTTCCACAGCATAAACCCATGTAACATACCTTCAACCAATATTTCATAACATACTGCTAGTTGGATTCTTGGGCTAAATTCCTAGATACACGTGTTTTAAAATCTTGCAGGATGTCATAACTCTCCAGTTGTGTCCTACCTCCAGTTATGCACACAGAATTACTTGCCTAACAGTTAGTCCATATGCTTTCTGTGTAGAGAGGCCTAATAGATACTCTAGGCTAGCTTCCCTCCCACCCTCTGTCTTTATAAGGTTTTACTGTGGCTGTATTTATGTGGTTAGCTTTTAAAGATCAAGCTTTGGTATGTACTGATTTTTATTTTTTTTTTATTTTTGTGTTAGCTTTTTGTATACAAGTAAAAGAATGATTATTTTTATTTTACACAGTTATCTATTTTATACCCTTTCACTCCAAACTCACTCTGGAGAAAGTTGTGCATTGGTATCCTTGGCATATAATTGTAAATTTTGTCAAGTTTGTCTTTTATGATTTCAGGACAAAGATTGCCCAAGACATCGAGAGGCTAATACACCAGTGTGACATCATAGACCGGGTGGTGTATGACCTGGACAACCCCAAGTAAGTCTGAATCCTGAAGTTCTTGTAACAGATTATCCTTTATCATATCTCCCCCATCCTTTATTGTCGCTGTTTTTATCCTTTAACAGGTAGGTATATGACGATCATGGTAAATCTTGTCCATTTTTTCTTCAAGTTGAAAGACAAGCTTTTTTTTTTTAGGTAAAAATTAAAGGTAAGCTAATACCATGTTTTTGTTTTTTGTCATTTAATGGGATTTTTTTCTTTTTTATTAAGATTTTTTTAATACAATCTTTTCTCATTTTACATAGCTATCCCTGTTTCCACTACACACACACACACACACACACACACACACACACACACACACACACCCTGCACCTTCTCATCCTCTCCTCAGAAAGGGTAAGGCTTCCCATGGGGAGTCAGCAAATTCTGACACTTCATTATGAGGCAAGACCAAGGACCTCAACATAAAAGACCTCCTGAGAAAATTAGGAGAAGGTGAGAAGGGAGGGTGGTAGGGAAGGGAGGAGGAGAATGTGGTTTTGGAAAAATGAAACTAACTCCACTTGAAAGAGTGGGGTTTTCACAGGCAATGCTGTCCTTTATTGCCATAGCACTAGACCAGTCACTGGAGTTGCCATCCTGGCCTTATGGCTTGGCAGGCCAGCCATTTGCTACTTTTGAATTATCACTGATAGTATGTATGTGTCAGGACCTAACTGCAGTAAATTCATAGAAATCTCAGCTACTCAAAGAAATTGAGTGAACTCTATGGGTCTCTCCTCTCCTTGCTGCTCTGAGGAAATCTGACATCTTACTTTTCATGATTGGAGGAAACAGACTTAAGAATGGTTGTTGGTAGGTAGACCTATGAGTTAAAGCTCCATCAAAGGTGGTGCCTGAGTCTAGAATAGTCTTTGCTGTTGTTTATGGCAGAGTGTCCCACTGTAGCTTAGGCTGATGTGGAACTCACTGTGTAGCCTAGGCTGACTTTCAACTTAAAATAGCCTTCCTGGTTCAGGAGGCATATGCCACCATTCTTGACTTTAAAATATTCTTACCCAAGGAAAGAATAACACCCTATTCAACATGTAGCTGTTTCATTATCATGCTTCCATGTTAGATGTGGAAAACAAACCTCAGAGCCCCAAGCATGAGCATGTCCAGCTTGTTCCTAACAGATGTGACGGTGCACAAAAATACTGAGATTCTTGGAGTTTGTTCGTTCTTGTTTTGGAGTAGAATTTTCAGAAGAGCAGGGGTTTTCATTCTCTGAGGGTCAGGCAGGCAGACAACGGAAGTGCCCAGCATGTAGGTACTCAACCAGATGATAGGTAAATCCCTTAAACTGCCCATATTAGTGAAAAGCAAAAACTGCATGGTTTGTTAAAATTACGGCTACTTACCAGGAAGTTTAAAAAATAAGTCTCTTTTTTTCCTATGTGATAATCAGTATTTTAGAAATGACATTTATTCAGCAAGGCAAAGTCCTTATTATGGATATAATTGTAGGAACAAGACTCTTGTGATTATAATTTGACTATAAATGGATGTCAGAGTTTTTTTGTTTGCTATTGTCTTTGTTTTAAAAGGGAGGAGGGAAGCAATGTCCTCTAGTTTTAGTCTTTGCTTATCTGTTTAAGTGTGCTATATTTTAATATATTTATTTTAAAATTTTTATTTAGCTATGACACTCCAGAAGAAGGAGATATTTTGAAGTTTAACTCAAAATTTGAATCTGGGAATCTGCGCAAAGTAATTCAAATTAGAAAGTAAGCCGTTTAAACATTCTCATTTGTATGTGCACAGACTCTCCCGACTTGTCATTAGTCGTCCTTGTCTTGTGTTTTAGAAACGAGTACGACCTCATTCTGAACTCGGATATCAACAGTAATCATTATCACCAGTGGTTCTACTTTGAAGTCAGCGGGATGCGGCCTGGTGTTGCGTACAGGTTCAACATCATCAACTGTGAGAAGTCCAACAGCCAGTTTAATTATGGTGAGCCTCTTGTTCTTTCCTGTGAAGAATGTTCAGGCAGTTACCTGCAGGACCAGAAATCAGCACGGAAGCACTGCCTTAGATGTATTCAGTGTCTCTTTTTTTCCAAACCTTAGCCGTTCATCATGCACAGTTTGAAATAGCTTAAAGTCTGTTTGGTTGGTAAGAAGGGCTACCCTCGTGCAGACAGCCCTTTAGGCTGCAGTAGCAGTTGTTGATCTCATCCAAATGGAACACAATTCAGATAATGCCTGGGTAGCAGCAGCAGCAGCAGCAATAGGTCAGGGGTTTCTTTTTTATGTAGCCTGTTAATGTTCTGCATAGGTTTTATTTTAGGATATTAAATTAGCTCTTTTTCATTTATAGATTAAATCATAGAATTGCTAATGTTTTGTTAAATTTTTTTCCATTTTAAGCTGGGCGCAGTGCTGAACGCCTGTGATCTCAGTCCTGCCTGGTAAGGCACACGTGGGGAAGATGTGTGGAGGGCGTGTGCATTTTAGACGAGTTGCAGTTCAGTGGTGGTTCAGTCCAGAAAGCTCTGGCCTCTATTCTCAGCTCCAGAAGAGAGAAAAAAAGCAAAGAAAAATATTTTTACATTTGTGTTTAGGAAGCTGTACTTTCCCCTCCCTAACTGCCCCCACCATACCCACTTTTGGTATCATGGTCATACTGTCTTGGTACATCATGGCACATCTTCCGTCTTCTGGAAGTCCTTGTGTAGAACTGGCACTAATTCTGCAAGGCTTGATGGACTTTTCTAGTGAAACCGTCTGAGCTTTGCATTTCTCTCTTGTTGGCTGTCTTGTACACTGGCATCATTTCCTTACCAGATGAGGATTGTTGGTGCTCTGTTATGTGGGAACTGAGCTCTGCTTTTACTAGTGGGTCCATTTCTTCCCAGGGGTCACTGGTCACTGTTCCTGTGTTGCTGTTTCTGTTTGCATGGCCTGTGCTGATAACCCCAGTTTCATTTTCTGTAATCGTAGCTGCGACTCTAGATCCTGCTTAGCTGCCCACATAGAACTTGCGCTTCGCTTCCCTTGTGTTCACTGGGTACCTGCTGCGGGACAGACATGTGTCTGTTCTTGGCCAGTTTCATCCCTTGCAGAATAAGTCCTTATTGCACAGTTTATTGACAGTGTTGAAGAATGAGTGTTGCGTTTATTGTCTTCCTTACTGCTGCTCTCTGGATAATTTTTCTTCTTCTTTTTTAAATAAAACTCTAGTGTTTTGGAATAGGAATCTGAAGTATAGCTTGTCATTTAACGCTGCTGTGTTCGTACCTTAAATACAAAACTTAAGGATTATTTGTTCAGCATCTGGTCAGTAATCAAGGACTGTGTCTATGGAGGCTAATTACATAAACTCAACATTTGTATTTAAAAATCAAAACTTCAAACTAGCAAGTTTTTTATATAGTACGCATACTCTCTAACATACAAAACATCCCTTTACTGAGGAGAAATATGTTGCAAAATGATAGTGGTCTCAGTAATTGGTTATGAAGATTGGAAAGCTTTAAACAGGGGGTCTGAGACACTGGTGTTCTTGTTTCAAGTCATTTCCCTAAGTTGTTAAAAGCCTGTGGTGATGATGCTCTTCAGAGAAAACAGTTCTGAAAATTAAAGCTTTTGGTAGTTGAAGTTGCTGCCAGCTGCTGTGTGGAAGTAGGAAATAATGTATTCTAGAATGACCCACTTGTATGAGATAAAAGGTTTGTCATTTAATGAAAGATTGGGATGAATAGATATTTTAATATCTGGCATGGTTATAAATACTTTTTAAGAGATTTGAAGTCTTATTTAATTTTCAAACAATCTAGTAAATGTGTGTGTTTTGGTGAAAACATTCATAGTGTTCTTGGTTTGCATGGCTGGTGATAGGACTAGCCTTGTGTGGTCTGTTCCATACGCCTGTTCTCCGTGATGCTAGTGCATAGCACAGTCACTGATTGTGGCATATGGATCCATCCAAGTACTAGGCACGTGGCTTAGCCTCTGAGACCAGATTGGAGTGGTGGGGTCACAGTGGTATGACTGTCACCAGAATATGACCTCTCTCAGAAACATTTGCTGACCTTCATTCAGCCTTGTCGTATCTTTTAAAGTGAAACTCATTCAAAGTATTATCAAGATAAATAAAGATATCTATTCGTTCCTTATTTAACTGAGTACAAAAGTTTTTAGAGTAGAACAGTTAGTTATATTGATTTTATTTGTATGCTGAATGTCCTTTAAGAATAAAATATGAAGTTATATTTATCTGTGCACAGTAGTGTAATTTTTGAACAGTGCTGTAAGATAGTCTTTTACTAATCTTTATTTATTCTCTTAAAAATAATGTTCTTAACATTTTAAACTCAGCTGAGCAGTGAAAGATTTAAATAGAGTGCTCATCTGGAGCAGGCTCTCTGCTTTAGAAAGCTCTCCCTCCCTGTCGGAGGTGAGGCAGTCTCTTCCTTCAGTGTCCTTCCAGATTCTGAAATGAGTCCATCTGTAGCTGCACTGACTCCATCAGGAAGATGTCTGATGTGCCGTGTTCTGAAGTCTCTTCTGGCTCTCCCTGGACGTGCTTGTGTGCATTTCCATGTGCATTTCCCCCTGGACATGCTTGCGTGCATTTCCCCCTGGACGTGCTTGCGTGCATTTCCCCCTGGACGTGCTTGCGTGTATTTCCCCCTGGACGTGCTTGCGTGTATTTCGCACTTCCAGTCTCAATAAAACTGATGCTGTCCTGTGTGGAGACAGCCCCCTTGACGCAGCTTTATGTAGCCCTTACCACAGTGCTGACATTTTGGACACATAATTGTGGCTCATTTTAAAAAAATAAAGACATAACCATGCTGTTTCATTCTCTATATTTTAATTAAAAATTACATTGCTAACATTTTCCCTGGTCCTCAAATATTCTTTTGAAATAAATTTAATGAGGGTTATCCATACTTTTATTATCACACATTATTGGTCATAGTTTATCAGGTTTTTAAAAATTATTCTGGCATTTGAACTGTTTTATATGTCTCCTTTGAGTTAAAAACATTGTTTGTCATAAGCTGGGGCCTCAGCTACACGCTAGCACTTGTTTGGAGAATATTGATTAAGTATGATAGTTTAACATTTTACCATTTTCAGAAAAGTTAAAAATCTTTGTTTCCTAAATAGTTTATTTTTTTTGAGTCTCAACATAGTTCTAACTAGTCTTGAGCTCATCATGTTAAATGAACTTGAACACCTGATCCTCCTGTGCCCACCTCAAGTGGTGGGATAAATAAAGGTGTGCACCACCACCGCTCATGGACATCTATTATACATATTACAATTTTATCAGGTGCCAGAAATTTTAATTAATTATAGGATAATTTAGATTTTTCTTTACATGGTCTTGCGTAAGGTAAATATCAGCAGCATTCCCATTAAAGCCAAAATGAAACATGCTCTCCAGTGTCTTCCCTCTGAGTGGCTGTTCAGTTTTGGACAGTGGACATGGAGTGCTTTCTTGTGTGAGTGACGTTTAGATTTTCCCGATGGCACAGCGTTGTGAACAGAACCACAGCTGTGTGCGTGTCTTTGTGCTTGAGCTTCTCTTTTTATGTATTTAAAATTTTCTGTTTTTATATAAAACACAGCTGCTGGTCTGCAAATCTTCAGAAGTTTCCTAATTTTGACCTTCACCTCCCTGTAAATTTGTACTTTTCTTCTTTGATTTGTTTTTGTAGACAATCAAAACATCAAAAATTTTCTCTTTATTACAACTTAATTTTGTATCCCTCTCTGATTTTAATATTTGTCTTTTTGTATCTTTTTGGTTTTGTTTTCTATTTTTTGTTTGTTTTGTTTTTTGAGACAGGGTTTCTCTGTGTAGCCATGGCTGTCCTGAAACTCTCTTTGTAGACCAGACTGGCATGAACTCACAGATGTCCACCTGCCTCTGCCTCTTGAATGATGGGATTAAAGGTGTTCCCTTTTCCCCACTTTGTGGGGAAGCTTGGGCATTTTTCTGGGGTGTGCTGAGAGATGGGCACTTGGACGTGGACTCGGGAGGTGCAGGGTCCATTGATGGGCAGCCTCATCACTGCTTTCATTTAGAGAAATTGCCACCCCTGCTCCACTTTTTGGGACTTTTTTTTGATAATTCTGCTAATTATTTTTTTTTTACAAATGATCCTAAAGCAGTTTTACAACATGTTTCTGAAAATAATGCTCTTTGCTGAATTTGAGAGTCTGTGCCACTCTCTATCGCCACACCCTTTCTGTTACTTGAAATGGATTTTCTTAGATTGCCACTAGATGGCAGTTTTACATTTAATAAAAGCCAGCTTTAGTTTCAAGCTGTGTTTTATTCTCTCCCTGCATCCGTCTCTACCTCCTTATGTGAACCAAGCATGCTTGGAAACAGGCCACGGCACACAGCTGGGGATCTACGCCCCACGTGGTGGAGGTCAGCTGGGGCTGCCTGGGTTGTGACCTTTCCTTCTGGTGCAACGGAGGCTTTAAGTTAGTTAGCTGTGTTACTAATACTTCCCCTGCTGTTTCAACATGTATGTGTTCTGTACATCGATAATATGGCTCTTAGTAGCTGTTTGGTAAGTGTTTGTTGATTGATGCAGAGAATATGAGGACCATAACGATCATGCTGGTAGCATAAAACAAGCATGCACAAGATACTTGTCAAAGACCCTAGTCTAGTTAGGATAATCGATTTTGTGTGTATGTTGTATGAGTATATGTGTTTGTATGTATGTATATATGTGTGTATGCTGTGTGAGTGTGAAGTGTGTTGCGTGAGTATGTCTGTATATGACTTGTGTGTCATGTGTATATATGATGTATATATGTGCATGCATGTTATAACATGAATGTTGAGGTCAGAGCACAACTGTAGGTAAGTCAGGATCTCTGTTGTTTACAGCTGTGTACAGTGGACTACCTCCCTGGCCCAAGAGCTTCCAGAAAACCCCATTTTTTCTTCCCATCTCCTGGTAGGGATATGGTGGGATT